GGAAATGAATTCACTCCTATGGCTTAACTTCCAGCCAAACAACAGGCAGGATAACAAAGTGAACAATTACATCAGGTAGGCATACTCCTTAGAAATATTAACCATGAGAAACCAGAAGGTCAGCATTTGTGCAAGGAGAAACCTCAGAGGATAGAATATGTAGGAAAGAAAGACACAGTACCCACAGGGAGGAATTGGGAAGAGAGCTGTTACACTGTAGGGATTGCAATCAATGTCATAAAACAAAATGTTTATGAACTGTTGAATGGAAAATGAATTTGCTCTGTAAACTTTCACTCAAATCACAATAAATGTGTATATACCAGTCTTGTTATAAGTCTATGTATACTTATCAAATACAAATATATGGTTGCCATGAGCAATCAAAAATAATTTAAAAACAGTAAATATCCCAAGATGAAAAAATATTACTTTGACTCTCTCTTTAATAAAGCTTATAATGTAAACAAACTTACCTGAAATATTTTAGGAGCACTCACAAGGGATGCTAATGCAGAAGAAAGAGTAGCTGAAAAGATTCCTGCAGAGATTAATGGTGCAAATCCTGACACCATGCTCATTACCTTAAAAAAAAAAAAAAAAAAAAAGGGACACACAACAAAGGGAAAAATCAGTCTCACAAGCAAATCAAAAAATGGTTCAATATTATGGTAAAAGCCTGATGATTCTAATGGAGGAGACCACCATGTTGTTATATCCCGAACTTATATGAATGAAGAATACACATGTGTACCAAGATAAGGCAAATGGGGCAAAATAAAAAAAATAATTAAATACAGGTGAAGGGTAGGTACACAGTTTTTCACTGCACTATTGTTTCCATACGTTTGAAATTTGTCAAAATATAAAACTGAGGTGGAAGAGTTGTCTGAATGGTTCAGTTACTGTCACCTTGATCATCCCATTATAAATTTCCATAGCATTAAATAATAATAATAATCACTTAGATTCATTATTTAATTAATGGAGATTTACTTTTCATTTTTATTAACTGAGATGCCAATGGAGACCAAGAAGATAATGAAATCAACTATTTTGTAACTATTTTACTGTTTGTAACTATTTTACACTTGAGTGGAATTTAATACCTTAAATAAAGTTTAATATTAGCTACAGGATAAGCCTGGCCATTATGCATTGGCTGATTCCATGTATGTATTAAACATCTTGTTTCTACACTTAAATGTCTTTTCCTGATTGACTCAGAGACCTTCCAGAAGACTCAGGGTTAAATATAAAGAGTAAGTTTTTTAACCGTAGCATAGTGCCTAAGGCACTGGACTGCTAACCAGAGGGCTGGTGGTTCAAACCCACCAGCAACTCCTCGGAAGGAAGATGGGGCAATCTACTTCCATAGTGATACTGCCTCGGCAACCCAAGGAGGGATCACTATGAGTTGGGTCCGACTCGACGGCACATAACAACAACAAAAAGAAGAAACATCAGCACTGACTTCTCTGTAAATCTTAAAGGAAAAAGGAAACAATGATTTTCTGTTCAACCCTTTAATAACAATTTAGAGATTTTGTATATGCAGTCTTATAAATATGCCATATATTTTTCGGGAGCGGCTTTGACTGCTAACCAGAAGGCTGGCGGTTCAAACCCACCAGCCACTCCTTGGAAGGAAGACTGGGCAATCTACTTCCATAGTGATACTGCCTCAGAAATCTAAGGAGGGGTCGCTATGAGTCGTATTTGACTCGATGGCAGTGAATTTGGTTGATTTTTATATATTTTTTACAATGATTAATACTAGATTATCT